ATTTGTTCCTTCTTTATATAAAGGGCATACAAAACACCATATAGGTCAACAGTTAAGACACCATTTGTCTGATTCCGTGGCAAATTCGATTTTGTACAACTTAACAGGGTCTTTTTTGCACAAAATGAGGACCAAAGCTCTTACCTAAACAATATGTCTTAAAGATTTCTGCGTGGATGGTCATTTTTGACCCGGGATTTGTTCTTTCTGTATATAAAGTCAATAAAAAATAACATATTTTAGAGCCAGCCGTTTAAAACCAATTTGTCTGATTCCGTTGCAGATTTGTTTTTGTACAGTTTTAGAGGGCCTTCTCTGCACTTAATAAAACCCAAACAATATGTCTGGGAGAATTCCGCGAGCGTGGCATGGTCATATTTTGGACCGGCGATTTGTTCTTTCTGTATATTAAGTGCATAAAAACATATTATATAGCCAACCGTTTGAAAACCATTTGAGTGATTCCGTTAGAGGTTCGTTTTGCACAACTTTGGAGGATCTTCTTTGCACAAAATGAGGACCAAAGCGCTTACCCAAACAATATATTTGAAAGACTACTGCGTAGATGGTCATTTTTGACACGGGATTTGTTCTTTCTGTATATAAAGTCAATAAAAACAACATATTCTATAGCCATCAGTTAAAAAGTATTTGCCTGATTCCGTTGCAGATTCGTTTTTGTACAACTTTAAAGGGCTTTCTTTGCACAAAATAAGGATCAAAGTCCTAACCCAAACAATACGTCTGGGAGAATTCTGCGAGGCATGGTCATATTTTGAATTGGTGATTTGTTCTTTCTGTATATAAAGTGCATGAAAACACCATATTTTAGAGCCAAACGTTTAAAAACCATTTTCCTGATTCTGTTGAAGATTCTTTTATATACAACTTTATAGGGTCTTCTTTGCACGAATCAGCTACTATACCAAAGCGTTAACTCAAACAACATTTCCGGTAGATTTTCTCGTTGCATGGCCATTTTTCGACCGGCGATTTGTTTTTCCTTTCTATAAAGTTTATAAAATTTAATAGAGATACTAGGTAGACGTTGAAAAAAGCCTTTATAATGCAAAATGTCAAATGTCACAATAATAAATATAAATGATATTTCCATAATTTTTCTCATGGCAGATTATTTGGACTAATAATTCTGCTGCTGATTTACAATAGCATATCCTGTAATGTGCCTGAGAGTTCCAGACTGCAGTCCATATATTGAAAGAATCAGGAAGGTTCCATAGTAATGTTAGACTTTAATTCTGGACATATTAAAATGTTGTCATGAGATGTATAATTTGTCTTATCATTTTTGTCCTAAAATGACTTAATCAAATTAACGGTTGCTTTGATAAAATGTTTTCATTAATTTTGGTATAGTTTTTCATGAAAGTTAAAGTAAACTGTTGCAATTAGTCCATCTGTTTCAATCATTATCACAGGGCAAGCTCATATCCTAGTCAAGTCTCTGTGGGTGGCGGCATGTTCCCTTTTTGGCGGTTTTTATCCCCAGTTTGGTTATTTCGATACAAATATGTACATGCCATGTTTGTTATTTACATGCCATGTTTGTTATTATATAACATTTGTCATTTATGGCATTCAAAATACCAACTTGTCCAGTGAATAGAACAATTACTTGAAACGATTTGAATACTATATACATGTACATGTAGCTGGAATAACAAAAGACAAAAACTTTTACTCCTAGGAGGAGAAGAATTACAAGCTATTTTCCAAACAACAATACGTCAAGACAACTCATACAGCCAAACAGTCAGAGATTTTACACACTACTTCAATCCAAAGAAAAATATATTATCATATGAAAGACATCGATTAAGGCAGAAAGAAACTAATGAAACTGTAGTCAATAACACTGTGAAACAAAAAAGAGGGCTCAATATCATGTAATTTTCCAGACAATACTGCAGAAGATATGATACTAAGTTATCGAACACTGTACCTCAAAGCAATTATAGGTCAGATCTCTCCGCGAACAAGATCTAACATTGGAATAAAAGTTCAACATATTGCCCACACAACCGAACATGCAAACATACATGTCAACGAAATACAAGTCGACAAGAAATCAGCACACATTAATATATTCTGCTAACCATGATGATGTAAGCTATATTAAAAACAAACTAGACAGCAGAAGCATTACCAGTCAAGAGCCAGACCAGAACCGAAATTCAATAGCTGCTAACGTTGGGGAAGAAAGGTAATTCTGGTCATGAATGTATAAAATCTCGTAATATTACGTGCAGCAAATGCACCAAGCTATATCATTATGGAAATATGTGCATGTGCAAATCAAGGAGAGTCACGTGTTCTGTAAATGACTATCAAGATTCCATAAATGTAAATGATCAACAAGAGGAATGTGTATTCAATATATATTCAAAATATCAGTTCCTATATTTGCAAGTTGTAATAGAAGGAATAGAATATAAATTGCCCGTAGATTTTGGGGCTATGTTAACTGCCTTATAATACCATGCAACCTTTGAAAAAGTGAAAACAAAATCTACATATACAAATGTCATTCAAAGATCTACCCTTATGCTCAAGAGCTACCTCTGAAAATTCTCTGAATTGCAAAGATGAAAAAGAAATTAAGTCAATAGGAAACAAAAATAAAATTTTCTTCACATCATTGATAAAGAAAGCAAACCACTACTGTGACTGCAAACTGCAGTTGATCTAGGATTACTTAAATTCTGCATAAATAATGTTAAAACCAATCAAAATAACATGGAAAATATATTATTACAATTAAGTGACATATTTCAATGATTGGAAAAACTCAAAGATTTCCAGCTACATATCAGCAAGGATGTTAGGTCCATTTCACAGGAAATTGCGCAGAATACCTTTCAAAATGCGACAGCAAGTACGAGAAAAAAACAAGTGTACTGTATTCTGACGTCATAGAAAAAGTTAAAGGTGTTACAACATTCAAGGGAAAAATTAGGCCAAAGTTAAGGAATGTTTAAAAACTAAGGGAAATCTTCCGTTTTTTAAGGGAAATCTTAGAATCTAATGGAAATTTTTCCCTTAGAAGCTTTTTGAATACGGCCCCAGCTGGTAATTATTCCTAAAGGCAATGGCGACATGGGCACTTGTGTAGACATGAGTCAAGCAAATTCAGCAGTTGCACGTGAACGTTTTTCCATGCCAAACATAGAACTTAGTGAAGCCAAATTCTTCACTAAACTAGATCTAAACATGGGGTATTCGACCCACAATCAAGATATATTAATATATTGCTATTTCCTGTACTTCAGAAGTATACTCATGTATAATACAACATACACTTCAAGACATACTGAACTGCAAAAATATTTCGGATGATAAACTGTTATATGGCACAACAAAATATCAACATGATGCCACACTGCGTAAAGTTCTACAACGTCTTAGAGACAAAAATCTAACGCTGAATAAAAGTAAACGTGAATTCTGCAAGAAGGCCATCTAATTAATGGGTCATACCCTCACCGCTGATGGACTCATGCCACATAATAAAAAATAAAGGCAGTGCTAAATATACCCCCTCCCCCTAAAAAATGTGAAAGTAGTTTAATCTTTTTCAGGATTGTAACAGTTCTGCTCTAAATTTCTTCCAAACTTTTTAATAATTTCGGAACCTATCAGAAAACTGTTTTGTTCGTCTATTAAAAAGTACAAACAAACTGTATTCGAACAAGTAAAATCACTGATAAAAAGTGCAAATGACGTGGCCTTCTAAAACACCATATGGACTTTTTGCTAGTTTGCTTCAAAACAAAGTGATAGACATTTTAGACATAAATGATGTTGAAAGGCGTTAAAGTAAGATTTAAAGAGAATCTTAACATTGTCAAGCCAACACACAAATCAATATGAAAATTTGTTACAGGAATGTAGGCCGGGGGCATATGTGTTTACCAAACACGTTTATCTATTCTATTACTTTAAGCTTTACCAAACAAATACTAATTTTAAATGGACTTATAAAATCAAAATATTAATACAAGTTGGAAGACCTGATATCTGGTTAAATGAACATATCATTATTAATAAAAAAATTTCACATTAAGTGTCAAGCAAATTTAAATACTAAAAGGAACATTAGACAAGCTAGTTACAATTTTCAAATAAGGGAGAATCTATAACTAATTTAAACATACACTAGAATATGAGATAAATTTTAATATTCTTCAAAGAAGGGATTAATATTTACACTTTTCAAATTAAGAACTTGAAATAACCGCCTTTTAACAGAAACAACGCACTGGTCATATGAAAACGCAACAAATGTGCAAGCTCTGATACTATAGAAAAAAAATCTGAGCAACTTTATTCAATAAAATGCCCATCTTTTAATCTTGAAAGAAATATGTACAGAAAAACAATATATTATATTTTAAAAAAATTACTATCATGTAAAAATGAACAAACTCTAATGAAGCTCTGTCATGTTTGTGCTGTTGTGAAATAAAGTTATCTGTCTCTCTGTCTGCATGTGTGTGTGTGTGTGTGTGTGTGTGTGTGTCTGTCTGTCTGTCTGTCTGTCTGCCAGTCTGTCTAGTAAGTATGTATATTAAAATTCTTAAAGCTTAAATAACAAATTTACCATGAAAATATATATTATGAAAAGACCTCATATTATAACAATAAAACGATTTTTTAACTCTCAGCTGTAACTCCCATTATAATACTTTTTTCAAATTTTAGAAAATAGATAAACATGAAGTACTTGGTATCTATTATTTTCAATGGTATGTTATATCTTTAAAAAGAATGTTTGTAACAAAAGGTGCAATGTTTTATCCTAACCTTAACACGACAGAATAGGAAAATGTAGTGTACACATGAACATCTTCTTAGATTTTAAAAAAAGATAATTTGATCCTTTTCTATTGCGAATCTTATCATAATCAGTTACAAACTCAAAAAATATATTTTGTTCACAATTTCATAAGTTTACACGCAATTTTGGTTTCACAAGGAAAATATTGAAAAAGGAGTAACAACATTCTGGCATAATAAAAGGACGAATCGTATTTTGAAATATATATATGTACTCATTGGACGATCTTTATATAGAAGTTTGGTTTTGCATGTGATATTTTGACTAAAGTAGACGATACAAACATTGTGTATTACCTCTATAAAATTTTGTATAGCCACAAAACTGATACGCTAAACATATAATTTTGATATCAGGCATTCATTAAACAGGTTTGAGGAGATCGCTGCTCATGGATATAAAGATGAAGTTTTCGTTTTTGGTATTGTTAATATTGATGGTGGAATGTGACCTGACGGAAGGAGAAGGCGGTATTGTACAAGAGAATCAGGATCCAAAATGTAGCTCACGGTTTGATACTGATTACAAGGTAAAGTCGCAAAATGCATTTTCGATATCTTTTTGGTATTTGTTTTTAATGATGCATTATACCTCAGATACAGGTAAAGGGCAAATATGAGTTCCATAACTGTTTAAGAGCAAGTGATATGCTTCTGACCTGGAGAAAATAGTCTGAATGTAAACCTGTTTGTTATGTTCCTCATCAAAGTAGGAAAATGTAAACAAAGTGGTCTTTTGACTTCAATACAAAATACTTAATCACTATATCTGTACTAATTGCCCAAAATAAATAAAGTAAAAAATGGTTAAGGTTCTTGGTAAATGAGTATTTTTTTTTGAAACTTTTAATAAGACACCATAAAGTAAAAGGTTTAAGAGAAATAAAGAGAGACATATTTCTTGTGTTTAAACAGAAATTCAATCATCCAAATGTTCATATCTGTGCATATTCAGTCGATCATTTTTTCAGAGCATAATATTTTTTTTTCTTCCCAAAACATTTAGCTGATACTAATTTATAACTAGAAAGCAATATGAAGAATATTAAAATCCGTCATTTTTTTCAGCGACACAATTAGTTCCTGGCTTCAATAACTTCATATGTCGCTTTTATTTTGACGTTGTGAGGTCTAGCACTACTATAAAACCTGTTCACTGAAGTTTTTTTTAGCTACAACATAATGTATTGTTATTACATTCTTTATATTTAAATGAAATTTAGTTCAAATCTAAATGCCATGCAGCCAAGTACATAGCCTTTGAAAAGTAATTACACTTTTTCGAATGTTCCCAAAATTATTTCATTTGCACCTAAATCTAATCTATCAGCTGATCCAGAAACTTGTACAGTTAGAAGAAAGACAGAAAGCTCTACATGAAACAATGGAAGGACTGAGAAAACAACTGAAAGGTATTGCTGTACAAGAGTTGTAAAATTTGTTTGTATTAAAAAAGAAGAATTAATGTAAAACAATCTGGTTTTTTTAATATTTGAATATGGACATCCCTTGGCTTAAAATAATGCAAGGATGTTGGGGGCAAAAATACATATCGAAGTCATCGTCATTATAATTATATTTTTATATATACATTTTCTTTTGCATTTGGTAAAATATAGGCTCACCCGTTCTCTCACAGTATTAAAATGGGTTCGCTGAAGACCGTCAGCTACATGTAGGTCCCTTAAATCACAATTACAGTATGTTAGTAAGTTTTAAAAAGGTCTACCTTGACAAAATATATGTAACGTAACAGATAAGATAAACAGGTGTACAGTTTGCAGGTATATTACTACAGTTATAGAGAGTTTCAAAGATTTTGAAATATTTTTGCCGTTATGGGAAGGTTATTAATAATAAAGAAAAAACCTATTCATATATGGCCATAGAACATGTCAAAAAGACTTGCTGGTACATGAACATAATTGATTTCGTTCCTTGATTAAGGTATGACCACCTAAACAAATGTGAACTGAAAAAAATGACAATATAGGTAAGATATATGCTTTAAAGGACACCTGAATGCAAAATAAGTAGAGTTATAACGTAAGCTTTTATGTTAGTATGGCCCTTCACAGAGATGATGTGTCTTTAAATAATCTACAATATCATCTTTATGAAAAATGCTTTCCCATTAAAATTTTAGAAACAATATATAACATTCGGCTAACAATCCACACATGCAAAATGATTGTTTCTGCTCAACATTAATAAAATATTTATAAAAATGATTTCCTATCTGCTTGATTATGTAAACTATTAAATATTTTTACCCTGTAGTTTTTATTAGACTTTACCATATCTATTATAAGATTTAACATACATTCATTCTTTGCTACATAGATTTTGAGAAAATGTGTCATCAAGTGACCTGAATTATGGCCAAGGACCCCAGAGAAATACACTTTTTTTGCGCAACTCACTCTCTCTTCATTTTATCAAAGGATTTTGACTTAATTTTCACAGAAGCTTTTATAGAACACCTTTAATATCGAGTGCCAAGCGTGCATATTGTCGGTATTTGGCCATTCAAAAACTTTGGCTGAATAATTGCTCTTTGTTTCATAAAAAAAACTGATGAAAACTTATGTACATGTACACTTCTATTCTTAATCCCTACTTTATTCCTCAAACGATTTGACTCAACTTTCACAGATTGTTCTTGCACATATTGTCTGAGTTTTTGAAATTCAAACATTTTTGCCGGAATTATGGCCCTTGTTTTTTACCAATATTATATATAGATAATTACACTTCTATGTGCAAGTTTTCATTGATTTTAGAAACTACGTAAGCTTTTATATTACATTGAAATTTTGTACCTATCTTTATTATACATCAAAATTATAATATCATTGTACAAAGTCCAATGAACCCATAATATACTACTATAATGTGATGAACAGATTAGTAGATCTATTGTGGATAAGATTTATTTGTTTCTAAGTTTGTTGTTAGTAATAATATGCATGCGTCTATTTAGTTAAAGTTAGATATTCAAATCTATAGAAACATGAAATATATGAATCAATACTTATCTATATATTATATATGTAAACACTGAAAAGGCCATGATTTCCAACAAATGTCCAAATTGCGAAATGCTGAAAATATGCACCAGGGCACATGAGGATGAAACTTTTTTGAAACATGAACGTTAAAATCTTGGTTTCGCCGAATTGATTGGTTTCATTCTTTTTTATAATTTGTTTTTATAACTCTTTAGGCTGTATAAAAAGCTATGGAGCAGACGACAACTTTGGCGTGACGTATGACTTTGCAGATCAAATGGCCCAATCTACATGTACGGCTATCTTGCCAGGGGCTAATAATTATGTTTATGCTGTGAGACGACATTGCTCGAAACTTGCAGCATCGTGCGAAGATACGTGCAAGCACGTTGGGTATTTATCTTATAAACTTTTTATAACTAGTATTCTCATTTGAACTTTTAGAATCATCGGCTTTCAGTCTTCTGTTTGTTTTTCTAATATGAAACTATACGGCACATTTGCCAAAACATACGATTTTGCTAGAAATTTTTCAAATCTTGATAAAGGGTTACACCGGCAACGCCCGAATAGGTAATTTAAAGAGATGCTTATTTAAGTTGAATACTATGCCATATTAAAGAGTTACTTCTAAGTCATGACTGGACAGAAGTAAGAATGTACCTCTTCCAAGATTTTGGGAACGGGGAAGGAAAAAAGTGCAAATCGATATGAAGCATTACTTTTGAAATATAAAAAAGTAGCGCAATAAAAAGGAGAATCGCGTTTATCAAATAATCATTTTTAGACTCACATCTCGAGGAAAACCGGTCGATTTTCTCAGGAAATAAACATGCCATTTATCCAAAACCTGTTTAATTGTTATACATATTTGTTATCATAAAATAATGGCATTCCAAAAGGGCAGATAAATCCTAAAATCATTTTAGCAAAGTTATGACTCTTTGTCCTTGTTAATCATTTTGTTACGGTTTCCCAGAAACTATGCAAGTTAATTCACATCAAACTATGACACCGTTTCAGATGGGCAAATAATCCTGAAATTAGTTTTTGTTGTTGCAAAGTTGATTAAGCCTTTTTTAAACCCTTTATTTGCAATGGTCATTTATAGTAAGACTGTCAAAATTATTCCCTTCTGACAGGTTATCTTACAATTTAAGTTTCCGTTCACCTTTTTGAAAAGGTATATTTCTTAAAAAACTTTTAGATATCCACTTTATCTTAGAATATGTGTACACTAAATTTCTACAGGGCAAACTATAATACATGTATCCTATTTATTTTATTGACTATGAAGGGCAGGAAAGTCTGCAAAAAAACAAGTTTTGCAGAACTATCCCTCTTTTCCGTGTTGCTGCACTAAGAAAAGTGGAACGCTCTGTCTTCGGTCTTTATTTGACGGCTAGTAGATATGCATTCGTCCATTCAGCAATGGAAAATTATAGTCTTGTTGCTCCGCGCCGAAAAGCGGAGCTATTTGTGTTGTTTGTTTTTTTGTCCATGGGCCCGATTTTTTTTAAATTAATCGGGCCAAAAAAAAATGATCAAAACATGTATAAGAATGGGGAAAGGGTAGGTCAAAAAAAATTTTCATTCTTTTTTAATTAGTTTTTTTTTAAAACATTTAACTGTTTTGTCAGATATATACACTATAGGATACTCAATTTTTTCAGGTTAGGTGCGGAAATACAGGGGGAACCACAAGATCATTTTGTTTTGGCCTAATCTGGCGTGAATGAGTCTCGCGTGAGTAATTGTCATTTTTTTTTGTTTTGTTTTTGTTTTAAAAATAACGAATAAACAAATCATCAGTATATAAATGAACGTTATAATAACTAATTATGAAAAAATACGTGATGAAATAATTTTTGTATAAAGATGATTTTGTATAAAGAAACACATTGAAATATTTGAAATATTCTAAAATTCATTTTTTTGAACCTTTTTTTGCCACATTGAAATATTTGAAATTTTTCAGTTTTTGAATTTCAGATAAAATTCATTGCAGTTTTTGGTCAAGTAATTTGAAATACTTGCCTATTTTTGCATGCCAGATTAATCATTTCCATTAATCGGTCCTTTCTTATTTGATTTTTTAAAGGGTTTTTTGTTGACTATTAAGATCAAGTACCCGGGGTCAAGCACTTTTTACAGAATTTTTTTTGTTTTTTGTAAATTACCCAAGACCGGGGAAAAATGAAGGTCGCTGTCAGTTTTTTTTTAATAAAAAAAAGGGCTTCGATTTTCTTTTTACCAGTGCCTTAATCCCTCGTTTTTTCTTTTTTTATAAAAAAAGGGTTTCAGGCATTCAATACCAGGAAACCCCTTTGCATTTTCCCAAAGGGGCCCCGAATGGGGGCGTTTGGGGTTAAAAATGTACAAAAAACAACCTATCCCAGGGTTTTTGTTCGAGGGGGATTTATTTTGGACCAAATTTTTTGCTGTGTCAAGTTTAACTCATTTTTTTTTGATAAAAATTTATGTTGAACTGGGTTGATTTGCGGGTGCTTTGTAGTTAAAAAATAAATTTGTTTCCCCAAGGGAACCTTAAAAAAATTATCGATTTTTACCCAAAATCGCATCAAAAATTTAAAGGCCCGCATAAAATTTTGCTTTATATAAAAAAAAGACTTTGGCGCAGTTTTGGGCAAAAAAAGATTTTTTGGGCAACCATCTAAATGCCAACTTTAAACTCCTGTTTTTGGCCATTTCCCCGTTTAAACACATATCGTTTTTTTTCATTTGAAAAAAATTTTAAAAATTTGTCCATCACTTGTCTAAGAAAATGGCGACTTTTTAATTTTTTTATTTACCCCTGTCCCAACCTTTCTAAGAGATAAACACGCAGAAATATAATGTTTTAGTGTACCCCCTTGCCCCCTTTTCCCAAAGGATGCCCACTTTTAAAACTGAACCCCTGTCCACCTTTCAAGGAGATGACAGATTTTTATTTTAAACCCGTTTTAATTTAACCCCTTTGCAAACTTAAATTTTTTAAGCTGAACAAGCCAATTCCCCCCAATTACTAAGTCCTTTAAACAAAAAAACCCCAACTCATTTCTAACTTTTAATTTCAAAAGTAATTTGTAACTGAAGTATTTGGGGTAACCAAATTAACAATGGATAACGGATAATGGATAACAAGGGAAATACAATTTTTCTTTAAAAAATTTTATTTTCACACAAAAAATTTTTAAAACCCCTTTACCCCATTTTAAAAATTTTTAAATCCCATATCTGTTCACACTTTTTACCTATAATAAAAACATTTTATTTCATAATTTTTCCTTTCTTTTTTTGAAAAGAAAAAAAAATTTTAAACGATTTTTACCGGCGAATGATTTTTAAAAACAGCCCAAATACTGCACGAAAAATATCTTTGCACTATGTCACGCTTGTCTTTAATTTATTTTTGAGGGTTTTACTACGTTACCTGAAGGGGGAAAATAATTTCCTTCTAATTCTTCCTCAAAGGAAAGAAATTTTGGAATTTATATCCCCCGGTGAGCACCAGGGTTTTTGGAGCAAGTTAAATGTTAAAAAACATGTCCCAAAAGTAACTAAAAAAGTAGAGCTAATTGCAATTTTTTATCTTTAAAATAGAAAATGTTTTGAAAAGGGTTAAATTTTGACTTCCATACAAAATACAAATCACAGCATTATACCATTTGCCAATCGGTTTCTTTAACAAGATACAAGAAAAAAAAGGGTACATTTTTGGGGTTTAAATTTGGCCCTTTAAATTTTTAAATTTTTTTGGTCAAAAAAAATTTTCAAAAAATTAAACATCCCATTTTAAAATTTATTGATATTTTGTTGGGTTTTTTCCGTTTTTAAGGATGGGAAAATTTTTTTTCATTGAAATGTAAAAAAAGTAAATTTTTTTTAAGAGCTCTGAGGTGTGTTAAAATTTAAAAAAATAATAAAATAAAATAAAAAATAAAAAATAATGATGATTGGGATGTTTAGGATGATGATGATGTTATAAATATAATAAAAAACAATTTAGAATATCCCAACCCCCCAACAACAAAAAATAATAAAACAACTTTAATAATGAAACAACAATAATGTATTTTTTTTTTAAATTTTTCACGATTGTAGATTTGTTTAAAATTGTTTTTTGTTCAGTGAGTTGGACATGATGTTTTTTTTAACTTGAATAAAGTTTTTACAGTGTTTTCAAAAACTAAAACAATGCTCCCCGCCATGATTTGCAGAAAGCTTATGGGGGAAAAACCCCAAATTTTATTTTCCACCCATTATAAATTTTGCTAACTGCAAAAAATGTAAATATACGAAAAAAAAAATTTCCCCTTTCACACCCTTGTTTAAAATGAAAGGGTCTCTTTTAACTTATTTTAAAATAAATCAAACAACCGGACAGTTTTGGATGCTTTTATTAAAATAAAAATTTTTTAGAGCATTGCACAGAAATAATAATTTCGGAAAAAAAAACCCCAAAAAATTTGAAACCGAATGAAAAAATTTACAGGGATCAGCGCTTTTGGGTCGAATCCCTTTAGGGACTTAGGGTTTTTTTATAAGGGGAAAACTTTTAACACGCCAAGGAAGGGTTTTCTTTTACAAAGTTCCTATTTTTTATCTCTTTTTGAAAATATTTTTTTTCGAAATACTAAAACGTGGAAAACCCAAAAAAAAAAAAAAATGTACTTTAAAATTTCGTCTTTGGGTAATTTTTGGGCCTTCGCAGACACTTTTTAAACTCAACCCTTTTTAAACTTTTTTCACAAAAATTTACTTTCAAATGTTTCGAAAAAAACACCATTCAAGACCCCCCCCTTTTTAACACCATTTGTTTTGATTGCGTTTAAAATTTTCGTTTTTTACAATTTAATGGAGCGTCCCCTTTCCCAAAAAATTGGGGGACCAAACCCTATTTTTGGGCCTTTTCCCGCAAAAAGTTTGGGTCGTTTTGGCCCGGGTAAATTTTGCTTTTTTCGTTTAAAATCGTAGATCAATTATAATTTCCCAAAGTCAAATCAAGGGAGAAAAAAACATCCTGAAATTGTTTTACATTATTTTTGATCAAAAATTTTGAAAAAAATTTTAAAATTTTATAGTGTTTTTACACAGAACCGCGCTTAAGAGCCTTTTCCTTTACGGGAAATTTGACGTCATGCACAGCTCCCCTTTGGGTTAAAAGTAAACGTTTAACCACTGAAAAAATTTGGCCGTTTAAAGTAGTTTAAAGGAAATGGCTTTAAGGGGAATTTTTTCCCCCCCGCATTATAAAGCTCTTGAAAAGCAAGGGGGCCCCGCAAAAAATGTTCGTTTTTTTTGGGACAGGGAAGATTTGTTCCGTAAGAAACATGAAGTCAAAGAAATTTTTTTTTAAAAAAAACATCATATTCTACAGTCTCCCCGTTTTA